GACATTGGCACTGCTGCTCTGAGATTCAGTCAGGGTGTGAATGTCAGGACTCCAGCCGTGCCTTTCTTCTCACTCTCTCTCTCTCTTTTTCCTATGATTTCTCTCTTATTATTTTCTGTCTGAGCTAAACAGCATTGAACTTTACCTACCAAATCAAAGTTAACAAATGCTGCCTGCAAAAATGCATGTCTTAACAATTAGTCATTTTCTCACTGGAATATTCTACAGGCTGACTGTTGGGCTTCTGAGATGAGCTGTTCTTTCCAAAACTATGAGCTAGAATACAGAGGACAGCAGGTAACTCAGCCTCTTGCTCTTCTTGAGATGCTGTATCACACTAGCTCTCAGAAATTCCCAGTAAAGAAAGTATTGCCAATTTTCACAGTTTTTGTTCACTTAAAAAAGCAACCTCATTAATAGACCGATTGAAAATCAGAATTTCTATCCCACAGAAAATTCCAATATTTCAACATTTGTTTTCATCCAAAATTGAGATGACAAGTCAAAATATTGACTTTTTTGTAGCCTGGAAAGTAAAATTTAGGGGTAAAAATCAAAACATTTCATCTTGACATTTTCCAATCAAAACATTTCAACATTCTCAAATTGAAATGTGACAAATTGATTTTCTGAACTGAATCAAAACATTTTGTTTTGGCTTGGTTTGATATTAATTTGTGTCACTCTGAACTGCTACAGTACCTCATGGAAGTTGTAGTCTGAGTACCTCATACTCCCGTTCTCATCAATGAGCTTGGCTTCCTGGCCAGTCTACATTTCTCATAATGCACTGCGGTCGTGTAACTCATATTAGTCACCATATCAGTTCAACCAAAGGGGAGTTCATAAGGCATCATGGGAGATGTAGTCCAGCCAGGGACCCTGAATCATGAGGCATTAATGTCAAATTGACCCCCCAGAAATGTTTCAATTCAATTCAACAAACTGAAATGTTTCAATCTGGATTGACCTGACCTGAAATGAAATATTTAATTGTCCCCCCATGGACAATAAAACTATTTCAGCAAGATTTAAATTTTCCATTAAAAAACATATTGACAAAATTCTGACCCGCTCTATCCATTAACAAATTGTAGTGAACAGTTACACAGAATTGCCATTATTTTGTTTTATGACTGAAGCAAATTTTATCCTATTTGGTAGACATAGCTGAACATCTGTGTCAAGGTTCCTCCCCCACTCTGAACTCTAGGGTACAGATGTGGGGACCTGCATGAAAACCTCCTAAACTTACTTTTACCAGTTTAGGTTAAAACTTTCCCAAGGTACAAATTAATTTTATCCTTTGTCCTTGGAATAACCACTGCCACCACCAAACTCTAACTGGGTTTACTGGGAAACGTAGTTTGGACATGTCTTTCCCCCCAAAATCCTCCCAACCCTTGCACCCCACTTCCTGGGAAAGGTTTGGTAAAAATCCTCACCAATTTGCATAGGTGACCACAGACCCAAACCCTTGGATCTGAGAACAATGAAAAAGCATTCAGTTTTCTTACAAGATGACTTTTAATAGAAATAGAAGTAGATAGAAGTAAAGGAATCACCCCTGTAAAATCAGGATGGTAATTACCTTACAGGGTAATTAGATTCAAAACATAGAGAATCCCTCTAGGCAAAACCTTAAGTTACAAAAAAGACACACAGACAGAAATAGTCATTCTATTCAGCACAATTCTTTTCTCAGCCATTTAAAGAAATCATAATCTAACACGTACCTAGCTAGATTACTTACTAAAGTTCTATGACTCCATTCCTGGTCTATCCCCAGCAAAAGCAGCATATAGACGGACACACAGACCCTTTGTTTCTCTCCCTCCTCCCAGCTTTTGAAAGTATCTTGTCTCCTCATTGGTCATTTTGGTCAGGTGCCAGCGAGGTTACCTTTAGCTTCTTAACCCTTTACAGGTGAGAGGATTTTTCCTCTGGCCAGGAGGGATTTTAAAGGGGTTTACCCTTCCCTTTACATTTATGACAATCTGTTAAACACTTTTTCATTATATATTTTTTATTTAAATGGACAGGGGTATGCATGTAGGCTAGTTCATACGAGAAATCCTTCCTTAAATCTAGAGAGATACAGAAGTACAAGTCCAGCATGGCAAATTCAAATAATCTCTTCAAGATTTAATTGAAGATATAATTATAACTTGAGATCAGGATTAATCAAACATCTATATATTTTTGTTCAATTCTATACTTACTTACAAACAGCACACATAAGAAATAGGATTTCTACCTTTAAAGTAATATCAAGCAAGAACATTATCAAAATCCTCTGAGAAAACCTGGTTGCTTATGTTGATTGGCACAGGATGGGGACAGAGTTATTCAGTGTACTACTTAAAGCTAATAAAATGAAAATAACAATCAGCTAGTTTTAGGAAAGGATTGACATTCTGTACTGTAGCTTCTACAGGTCCACTTATGGGGGACAGGGCACATTCTACTACAAGATATACTTTATTGCCTGCATGACACCTTTTACAGGTTTAAGAGTTTCATCTTGAAGCTTATGTGCCCACCTGTTCTTTACCATTCTACACCGAGTCACCTTGTAATATCAAATCTTAATTTAAAAAGAAAAGAATAGAATCCTGAGTCAGCACATGCTGAACTTTAAGCTCATACTTAAATCCCACTGAAGTCAATGGGCCGTCAGGACAAGTTTACAGTTAAGCACATGTCTAAATCCTTTAGTGAATTAGGGCTCTGGAAGATCAGTGCTAGAGGGCAACTCAAAGAGTGTGAGCTGCACTCCAACTAGTTTTTTTACATAGTCTTTTAAATTTACACAGGTCAAGTTTACAAATGCTAGTGGCTAGGGAGCAATGAGAAACACCAGGAGCCCATGGAGTCAGATGAGAGTTGCCTGATCTATTTTTAAGATGGTTCTACTTTTAAAAGGTAGCTCTACAAAGGCAGTAGTTAAAAAAAAGAAGTAGTAATGGGGTGTCAAAGGCCCTAATACTTCAGTAAACTGGATCAGGGTCCCATTCTATTATACTTTAGGCATTAATGAGGTCGTCAGATATTCTTTAGAGTGCTGTTCACTGGGCCTTTCTACTACACCAATTTAATCCTGTGCCAAACCCTACCACTAGTGGCATGGAGAACATCAGTCCAACTTTACACATTGCAATGAGCCTCTGCACATTTGTTTTAAGATTCCAATTCTGATCTTTTCCTTTCTCTCCCTTAACTCCACCCCTTCACAGTTTGTCTCTACTATCCACTTATTGTGCATACTATGACCTACGTTCCTCTGATGAGGACCATCTGTTTACTTTACATTTGTACAGTACCTAGCACCTATTCCCTGACTGGGGGATCCAAGCACTACTAAACTACAAATAAGAATAAAGAACCAGATCTGTATGTCATATCTGTATAAACTATGTCACCTGTGCATATGCCTTTTTTGAAGAGTTCTCTACTTAGGCTCTGGGTAGAGTTCTTCTTTCATCTATTTCTGGATATCTCTAATCACAACTCAGATTAGTTTAAAAACTGTCAGACCAAAGGACATTTTAGTTTTTATGCTCCACAGAAGGCCATTAGGGCTACCGCATCTGTTCAGGCTTCTGTAGTAAATCAAAGTAAAGCATTTTTCTATCAAGAATTTTAGTGTTTTCTGACTTGGTTTATGTTACATTATTTTTCAGTTAGCTTGTTTTATCCCATTCCTGCCAATCTTTCTTTGCATACTGCTTTGCTTAATAATTTGAGGTGGGCTGTGTGAAAAAGGGACTTGCATAAAATTACTAAAGGGCTAGGATCCTCAGCTCCATCCCTGTTACTAATACCAAGCTCAGGAAGGAAGAATGCAAAGGCAGTATGCAACCTGACTTCAGCACAAGCTTGTAGAAAGATAATCAGATTCCATAGCTTCATTCGGGATGGCCTACATTTGTGAAGTAAATAGTGACTCACCTGCGAGTTACCGAGTAATGGTTTGACTAGAAAGAAGGGGACAGAAGGTGGTAGGAAAGAAGAGTAAAAAGGACCCAGGCAAGGTGAGTAAGGTAACCTTACTTCTGATTTCCCTTTCTTTTTCTTTTATTAGTATATATCTTAACTGTCACGTTCTCTCACAGAAGGATTGACTATACATTTAGATAGGCTATTCAGTGGAAGCCCATACACGCATTACTCACGCCTAAGTATTTGGTTTTGAATATTAGTAGCGGCAACCTGATTTTGTTTTTAAAAGTAGGGGAGGAGGAAAGGAGAAGTTGGGGTTGTTAAAGAGTGAAGTTTCATTCTTTGAAGTCAGAGAGGCCTAACAGATGTACAGTCTGGGAAGTTTTCCAGATTCATTTTTAAGAAAGCAAAGTACTTAGCACAGCCTGCACTAAATAGGGTTATTTGGTCTATTATGGTGTGACCAGCAACACAAAATATATTATCTAAATATTTACTAGACAATACAAAACTCAGCAGAAACAGCAAATTTTGCCAGAGTTGGTCACAACTTACCTCCCAATAAAATAAAGGGTTTTCCTGGACAGCTATAGACCTTTCATCATAGACATTTTTATCCACTAGTAAAAGGAGCACACTGAGTTCTCATGCAAAGTGCAGTTCTAGGCTGAAGACAAAACAGACTTTTCAACACCCTGAACAATGGTAGTGTTAATGTCTGATTACATTTATTTAAATGCTGATGCTGCTACTTCTAGCGGAAGCACTTCTGCTGGTAAATATCAGTAATATAGGACATAACTGAAAAATGATGTTGCCTTTCCAAGGATACTGCAGCCATTAATCCTAGTTTAATAGACTTTTAATTTTGTATCCACAATCAATGGACTGATAACATCATTGATGTGGCATCTGTACATCTGAAAATCCTGCACTTGAGCACTGATGGAAATTAAGGAAACAAGTTAAAAGTTTCTTAGTACATTTTTACAGAAATCATAAAAGGCTGTGTTTACGCCCCCATTTTGAACTATTTCAGTTAGCTTGAAGAACAGAAGAAAACAGATCCTGTTCAAATCTGTCTCATTGACAGACCCATACGTCTGCATGGAAAGGTACCATACCTGCAGCCTTGTATTCCTGCCAAGTTAAGAGGAAAAAGCTGATCTGATATTCTGCCAGGAGGAATACAATTCCAAGAAAACAAACACAAACATTTCCTGTGAGGAGATGAAAAGAAATGTTTTAATAAGACAAGTGGAATCTTATTTTAATAAAAGTTAGACTATAATATGGAGACTCAGGAGCCACAGATTTAAGACCCCAGTTCTATAAACACTTCATCACATGCATAACTTGTCTCCTATGAAATCAATGGGACCACTTATAGTATTGATGTTAAAGGCATTTGTGTAAGAGTTTGTAGGATCAGGAACAGGTAAAAAACTATTCATGAATAATTTACTTAGCTCTTTTTCTTTTCACAAATTTTTGTGAGTAGATTACAATTTCCCCCTCTAATTTATTACTTATTTGAAATATTTTGAATAGTTTTTGCAAATAATTCTTGGTCTGTAGATTGTTTGAGAGTTTGTTTGAATATTTCATATTCAAGCTCTGTTGATTAGATTTGATTGGACACAAGGGTCACATAGTATATTTCTATTCCCTGACTGGGTGCATGTAACTCTCAGAATCAGGTTTCCAGCATCAATATTTGTTTTAGCATTTCAAATTCACTTTCCATGAATATGCTACAATGTTAACTTGAAATTTATTGTTTTCATGTGCTGCCAGTAAATTCATTGGCTAGAATATTCTCAGGAAAGGAACACAATATTTTCATTATTACTTCCTCTTATTCTTCAGACATCTAACAATCCTACTTTTTTACTCTTATCATTGCAGAACCAATGCAGCTATGGAAAAGGGAGATGGAGTCATTTCTGGATCATGCACCATCCACAGAATTGTTAAATAAGTTCTGACAGCTAAATCTCTGTTACTGGTGGATACGCACAAGCCAGAGGAAGCCAGCTTGAATTCCAGCTGGAGTGCACAAAGCTAGGAAAAAAGGCATCTTTCTTTCATTTGGAATATGGCAAACTTAATATGGAAGTAACTGGGAAACAATCAAACTGGAAGCCCATAAGTCTACTTTTATAGTATTAGTACTGAATAAGGACACTTCCAAAATATACCAAATATTAATTTTCATTAGTATTAACATTTACCTTTTAATTATAAAAGTTCCATCTCTAAAAAAGTGCTTTAGCATTATGCTGCAATAAAATGAATTGCTTAATTTACGCATTTTATGTAACTTGAACTTTTGATAAAAATTTCTCATAATGTTAAATATTTATGCATTCTGTTTTTCAGTGGAAATATTAAATATATACATTAACCACGAGTCTGCAGAGTAGGATATGAATCCCTTATATTAAAATTAAGTGGTTTACTATATAAAAAGGTAAGCAAATTAAATATTACATCCTAAAGTTACCCTTCAAGAATTTAAACAAAAAATTACTCGTATTGTAAAATATTTGATCAAATAAATACAAAAATCTTTATAGAGGAAATGTAACTAAAATATTTTCAGTGTTATACTACACAGTCTGATTAATTTGTTGCTTATGTGAATCCTACATTTAGCAGTACTATTTGCTTGATTATAATTAAGGAGTATTAGCACATTCTGGTTTTTGGTCATTGATAGGTCACATAAAATGTCTTTCTGTACTGAAAAATGACACAGGATCTGATTTAAAAAATACATGCCTGCAATTTCTCACAAAAGCTTAGATATCTCTGTTTGGTTGTGTGATATACTGCATGTTGCATCCCTCCAGTGTTCTCTCCATGAGTAAAATTGCCATATAGGACTGTCGTGGTATAACCACATTGAATTTTGAATTTGCAAAATTAAAAAATCATGAAACTTTCAACGAGAAGATAATTTCATAAATCCACCCACAAAATAATAATAAGAGTAATGACAGCTACTAATCTAATAGAAGTAAGATTTGACATCCCAAAAAGCACATGAAACAATTTGGTTCAAAAAACGATGCAAAATTTTCTACAGTCTCCTGTCATTATATTGTAAGAATGATGGAATCTGCATAACCCTCTCTTAAAGAATAATAATAAGGGAAGGGACATTAAAGGATATATCATAAATGAATTACAACAGCTATCATAGGAGCCAAAAGTCAATGAGCCAGACCTTCAGCTGATGTGAGTTGGCATAGCTCCATAGAAATCAGAGTTATCTCACTTTACACCATTTGAGGATTTGGACTAGTATTTTCCAACCATTACAATAATTATCCCAGACATCTTCTGTTCAAGCTGCAGTAAATTCAGATGCCACTGTGTGGTAGTTGTTGGAAAATACTACATTTTTAATAACGTCTGCAGTATATAGACGAGTTTTTTAAATGGAATCTCAAGTTAGGAAGGAAGGAAGGAAGGAAAATAAAAATAGTCCATTCATATTTAAGACTATGATATAGAAGTTATCACATATTGAAATTGGATCAAACTGAGAGTAAAACTAAAATATTTAATAGGCCATTACCTATACTACTGAAGTCAATGGAACCATACCAATTTACATCAGCTGAGAATCTGGCACACGTATGTAACTAAACATATATTTTAGAACTACTCATTAGTCTACCACCGGCTAGGCACTAGTACATACATATATACATTTTGGTTGAGTCCTCCAATGTCTACTGTAGCAACAAAATACTGTAGCATCCCTTGAATAGACAGAGAATAAAAAAAATACACATGTCCCCATAGCTGTGTGGAGAAAAGATTCCATAGACACAGACTCAGCCTACCTAATGCCTTAATTACCCGTTTCCCCACATGTATGTCACTTGCATCATCGTTCATGTTCTCTGATCTGTTTTATTGTTGAGGAAGGTTTTGTGAACATTTGGTCATGGACCAAAATCAGTAGCCATTTGGAAGCAGCCAAAACTATGTCACACTGCAAATGTCTGGAGTTATGGCAGATTTCCAAAGCACAGTGATAAATATAACAAGAGACAAAGAGTTGTTCTGCCTCCAGGACTTCTAAATCAAATGATAAACACCACAAAGTAGATCTAAGACATACAAACATTAAAATCCCTCATATGTTTGTCATTGTCAGTGCTCTCAAGCATGTGGTGGTATCACAGAAAACCAATGGGGAATTGAATGGAAAATCTCCAGATATACCTCAATATAATTAAGCAATGTAATTAAGCAACCTCAATACAGTCTACTTGTTGAAATCACACAGCCATAGAAAAGCTGCCCACTAATAATTAATAGTGTCAGACTCAGAGATCACTTAATCCCTAAAATGCTAGAAATACAAGTATCCATCAGCTTAATTTGCTTGCTTTTGAGAAAGTCAATTACCTCATCTGGTTTCCTGAATACTTGTACTGACATTGTAGCCAGTTATTTTGCTATAGATATATGGGCATATTCTAAATAAGAAATAGGTATGGATTAAGGCAGCAACTCAAACACCTGTAAAACAATAGGTTAGCCAAACTAATTAAGGCCTAAGGCCTAAAGACTTGCCATAAGAAACTAACCAGTAAGGGACACTGTAGCAGAAGATGTCATAAGATAGAGTGCTGTTATCAGCAAGTGTTGCTAAACTGCTGATAATTAAACTCAAGATGCCAGTTTATACCAGTTTTAGATATTTTAAGTTAGCAACATCAGCAGATGTCCAACCAAGAGCAATGCCATGGTAACTAACTGACGTATGTGTTAATAAGCTTGATGTAAAAGGCCTAAAAACCTATGGGAGAAGGGTATCCCAACATTAGTTGGGTGAGGAAATACAGGTAAGGAAAAGGGACTGAAACCCCTGCTGAATAGGCAGTAGGCATAGCAGTAATCAGCTAACTTCTGATAAAACGTGGCACTCAGCCCAGGCACTCCAAGCAGATTTCCTGGAACGTGTCAGGCCAAGGACCACTTGTGCATCATCTGAGCTACCATGGGGCTCCCCACAAAGAATGGTGTATGTAAATTTTGGATGCTTGTACTATCTCTGCCTACTTTGCTACACTGTAGTGATATTGCTGATTGTGTTAATAAAACTATTGCAAATTCAAAAGGCCTTCCTTAATTTTGAGCATCTCTCCCACATACGCCGGGGTCCTCACTCTCAAATTAACTGTAATACTGTGGCCAATCTAAAGGCAAACTGAACTCTGCCAAACCACAAAATGTTAAATTGTGAAAGCTAAATACCTAATCAGTAGATCAGCCAAGCGCCCCCATGAGTGAATGGCAGTCTGGCCAAGCACAGAAATATTTATTTGGGATTTGTTTATACAGTAATAAGACAATTATTTTTGTTTCCTTTCCCTGCCTCCTGTCTCACCGTGAAGGGCCAACACTGAAGGCACTAAACCAAAGACAAGACTAAACTTGCTGCTAAAGAATAGCATCTCCTTCTGTTGAATTGCTTTCATAATTTGTGTTGCAATCCATGCAAGATGTCAATATTGTAAGGTGAATTCACAAGGTCCCACCATGGGATTCTCTGAGTAACATGGAGATGGAGTCCATAACTGGTCCACTTGTGGATCACAGCAAATAACCTAGCAAGGAGTCAAAAACAAAACAGCATACCAGGTTACTTGTTTCAAATGTATTGGATACTCAAAAAATTCTGAGGATTATCATCATGGCTTTATTTTTTAAATCAATTACTTATAAGAAGAAATTAAGTCAGTGGCACCCAAGCACCTAAGCACATGCTTAAATGTTCTGCTGAATAGCAATGGACTTCAGAACATGCTTAAATGTTCTGCACATGCTTAAATGCTTTGCAGAACTGGGATGAGGCCTGACAGTCAGGAGGTCCTTACATTCTAATCCTTGCCCTGCTGCAGACTCACCGTGTGGCTTTGAGCAACTCACTTCACCTTTCTGTCTCAGTTTCCCACATGTCAGTTGGAGATAATAGTATTTACTGACTTATCTCCCAGGGGCATTCCGAGGATTAATAAATTAATGTCTGTACAGTGCTTTGAACACATTAAGTGCTATAAAATGTAAAGTTAGGGCATTAGCCTTTCCTCTGCACAGAACTGAGTTCATATCCCGCTGAGTTACAAACACAATACACAGGAGTGCGGTAGTCCCAGCCTAGTCCTGAGAAATTTCCATCTCACAAATACACTACCTAGTGTGGAACAACTGGCAGTCTCTGACTCAGGGAAGCTTACAGGCATAGAAAAACTGAGGATTATTTGTATATAGGAAGCTTGTACATCATCTGTCTCTTGGCACTTCTTCTAGTCCTTTATTGTTTTAAAAACAGTATGACTTAAGGGTGGAATGCGAGACATTTCTTTCAATTTCCCAGCTTTTTTAATTTTGCATCCATGTTTTATTTGTATTTATTTAATGTGGAAGTCTTATGTCTTCCTGTTGACTATTGCTACTGCTAAAAATATAAAATATGAACATAAGAACAGCCATACTAGGTCAGACCAAAGGTCCATCTAGCCCAGTATCCTATCTTCCGACAGTGGCCAATGCCAGGTGCCCCAGAAGGAATGAACAGAACAGGTAATCATCAAGTGATCCATTCCCTGTCACTCATTCCCTGCTTATGGGAAGGTACAGACCTGGAAAAAATAATTTTATATTAAGAATATGATTTAAGGGGGAAAAGGTTTGTGTATCAGAAACAAAAACTAATACTGATCAAAGGGGGTTGGAAGTAAAAAGTGAAAATGCCAGTGGAGGGGAAATTTATTCCTCTAGGCATTTAAATCCTGCTCATCTCTGGAGTATCTGAGTGCCCCCCCCCCCATCTTAAAAATAGGCACAATAAAGGAGCTTTGTCTTTACGTCCAACCCTTCATTCAGTAGTCTGTTTTGAGTTTTGCTTTTGACTCTCAAGGCATGGATATTTGAGAAGGTTCTAATATATTTTGGGTTAGGGCATTTGGGCCTGCATTGACAGGTCTCACTCCTGAGTGGATGGTTCCATTGTTCCAGTCATACATAGCTATTGCGGGAGGTTATGATCTTGGAGTATGATGTAGTCCATCTCCCCACCACACTGTCCTTCCATCTTTCCCTTCAAAACACTTGCATGCATGCACACACACACACAGTTTTATGTCTGTGTGTTAGATCCGATATTCCCAAAGGAATAGTACATAGCAGCTTGTGATATTCAATTCAGCATCCCCACTTTGCTTAACATACAGCAATATATGTATAGCGAAAACAAGAATAGATTTTCTTATCAAAGAACAGAGATTCAAGTGATAGTGAGTAAGAATATTGGAAACAAGGGGTTACATATAAAACAAAACGATAACACACTTTCTAGAGACTAAACAAGGCATTCCCCTATCTCCTACAAGATAGCATACCCAGAGTTCTTGCCCCAGCATTTTCAACCAGTTTGGCTGAGACCTCTTCTTATAAGATCAAGCCTGCTGGCAACTTGTCCTCACAGATTAGAGAAAAATATAGGGGTTCATTTGTGCCCCAGATATAGTTTCAAAAATTCATGGTCTTACCCCTAAAACAGGCTGTTTTTGTTTTTAATGCCAGCTCCCATAATCTATTGATCAGCATTTTTCTCAGACTGAAAATGTGTGTTCATTGTGAATGACAGAAGATTCAATTTGCATATGACCAGACAGAGTGAGATAAGTCTCTCTTCCCCTGCTGCCTGCCAGGAATATGTGGATTACCCTTTGGTGACCTGTCTTAACTCACAGAAAACAAAGTTTTCAGTATGTATACATAACTCTTCACATATTTTTCATGCATACATCAGGCAATGATTATGCCGACCAGCGTGACACAGGCTTTCAGTAGAGCTCTTACTGAAATTCTTTTGCTGAACCCAAAGGATCCCTGTGCTCTTTGGCAGTTGGCATCCAGAAGTCCTTGGGTCACCATCCTGTCTTATTACATATTTTTAAAGCATTTCCCTACTTTTGGGTGCTATTACATTGCTAATAATGAACCTAAAACTTATGCACTTATGCTTTATTTCTGAATTGCCATTTGGAAAATATCAATAATTAAACACAGGGAAACCTATTTGTATTTTAAATGGGTTATTTATGAAGGGCAAAATCCTGCTCTGCACCTCACATGAGCATTCATTTGGGGAAGGGGAAGATGGCATCACAAATATTTTCTCCCTAATGCTCACACATAGGGAGAAGGCAAGGGATAGACCTAGCACTAGGCCTGGAACCCAGCTCACATGAATCTAAAGGGGCATGCCAGCTGGAATGAGGGCATGATCAGGCCCCTAGCTCCCCCATGCACATATTGCCATCTGGCACTAGAGGATGCACACACTGCTCCTTTTTGGAACATGAGTAGGTATGCTGCTGAATTTGCTGCCCTCCAGCCCCATGAGTCTTCCTACCTCATAAACCAGAATTGTTCTAGTGGACTCTGATGCAGTTAGGAACCTCTTAGCCCACCCATGCCTTTAAAAGGCAGCACCCAGCCCATTGTTATTTTATATAGCATCACAGATGTATATTATAATTCCCATTGGCGGAATCAGATATTTAAAGGATGGATCATTTCAGGGCATTAGTAGCGGCAGTTGCCAAAAAGAGTAGCGTGCATTAAGGCCAACATTATTAAACTTAACTCATCAAGAGATAAGGCCTAAAACCATACTTAAACACCAAAATAAGTGACCAGTGGGAGCTCTGGATGCTCAGCACCACTGTAAAGATCAAGGCATAAATTTAGGAAGAGCAAACAGGAAGAGCAACAAAGACTCTGGAACACAGTAAAACATTTCACATTCCAAGACATGCCATGGAGACTCTAACCAACAGGGGATGCAACCTACCGCAAGGCATCTTTTAGAGCTTCAGGCTGTGTCATATAGGTGAGCAGTCAGAGGATGTGAAGTGAAGCTTCTACAAGAAGGGTCTGTGGCATCAGGCAATGAAGCTTAGGAACTCCCACAGTTAAAATAAAATCTGAGTTGGAATGGATTACTGTGACCATCTGAAATGGTTCTGGGCTCCATCCCTGCATCTTCAGATTGAATTTATGATCCTGTGTGTTATAAACCGGCCTTTTAAATAAGTTATGGAAAGGTATGCAACTGTGCAGAGCCTTTATGCTGTAACTGTACATCTGTCACATTCTATGGCATTTAAGGCTCATTAAATTTTGAATCACGTGTCATCTGCCCTTGGCTTAAAATGGTTCTGAATGTGCCTTTTGGCTCCAAACTTTCACTTTAGTGGAAACTGTTTCTATTTATTTCTCAGTTCCTTTATTCTGCTATCCATATCAATTCTTTAGTCAGACTGTAGGTTCATGCACTATGGTCCTGATCCTGAAAGGGTTGAGAGGTTTCAGAGGAACAGCCGTGTTAGTCTGTATTCGCAAAAAGAAAAGGAGTACTTGTGGCACCTTAGAGACTAACCAATTTATTTGAGCATAAGCTTTCGTGAGCTACAGCTCACTTCATCGGATGCATTCAGTGGAAAATGCAGTGGGGAGATTTATATACACAGAGAACATGAAACAATGGGTGTTACCATACACACTGTAAGGAGAGTGATCAGGTAAGGTGAGCTATTACCAGCAGGAGAGCAGGGAGGGGGGGGACAAATGGCGGGGGGGGGAACTGCTGAAAATGGCCCACCTTGATTATCACTACAAAAGGTCGTGTTCCCCCCCCCCTGCCATTTGTCCCCCCCCCTCCCTGCTCTCCTGCTGGTAATAGCTCACCTTACCTGATCACTCTCCTTACAGTGGGTATGGTAACACCCATTGTTTCATGTTCTCTGTGTATATAAATCTCCCCACTGCATTTTCCACTGAATGCATCCGATGAAGTGAGCTGTAGCTCACGAAAGCTTATGCTCAAATAAATTGGTTAGTCTCTAAGGTGCCACAAGTACTCCTTTTCTTTTTGAAAGGGTTGAGTCCCCTTCCTCTTACTTCTATGGGTGTTGAGGGTGCTTAGCATTTAACAGGATCTGGACCCTTATAAACACTTCGTAATTATGATCCCTGTGGCGTAAGTTTTTTTTAAAAGGTAAACATTTGACAGGTACAGTTGGGCACATTATTCGGACTAAGGACTAAGTACCATATCCTAATGCAGATAGAATTTTGACTTTAATGGTGGTTTTCACTGCGTAAGGATCTGGCCCTACATTGTGGATTTTCCAGCAGAACTGCTCTTTCTGCCTGTTTGTAAACACTTACTGACATGGCATGATCGGATACGTCTTGAGCCGCTGTAAGCAACTTTACGTTTCTTGTCATAAACCATGAGACTCACCACAAAAAGCAGCGCCACATCCCAAACATATTTCCTTTTAATTTAAAGCAACTATTTGAAATGAATAAAACATGATCAAATTTCAGACATTTTTACTAAAATCAAGAAACGTCACATCGCCACTTTTTGATTTCAATAAATGCTTTAAGTTATTGGGGGGGTGAGGGGGAGAAAGCCTTATTCCAGGTTGGCAGTACAGATTTTGTGACAAATTTCTTCCCTGCCCTAAAGACATTATGACTCAAAAGGTACAATCCTTCATAAAATGAAGCATCTTTTTCTCTCATAATAATTGTTAAGTTTTTCCTCAATGCTTAGACGCCTCTAGCTTATTTTGTAATGATATCACACCTGTGAAACATTAAATCTGTGCTGTAACTGTAGCAGATAGTGTAAGAAATGTCAGCTCTCATTAGCCTGCATATAAATCTGCCTTTGTGATAGGCAGGATAAAAGACAGACAAATGAAACACCAGAAACCCAGAGCATATGTTGTTCATGCAAAAAGGGCATTCACCAATGTGCATCTTCTCATTATTTCCAAACTAAGGGAATGGAAAGAAAGAAAGAAAGAAAGAAAGAAAGAAAGAATCAAATTGTAGGAGGTTCTCATAATTGTTCGCTGACACAGCTGAACAGTCATAAAATATCATAAAGAGTAAATGAGTTGATAATGTAAAGCAGTAATTAGGATTTGGTGCAGGCTTATGCTATTTACATATTTTAATGCTTCGGTATTAACATGTCAACTTTAATAATATGTAAATGAATTCCCTGGTGTGAGATTTATCCTGCTAGGCACTAGACATATATCCATTCACTGCAATTGTAAATTTTTTTCCTTCTCTATATTTTTAGTGTGTTTTTTCCAGACTCTCATACATGTTTTCTTTGCCATCTGTCTAGATTCAACTAAAGAAGTATATAACTCTAATGGATACACCAGCAGTAGCCCCCAGCTCCACATATCACTGAGCTATAAAGAATACACACAAAAAAAATCCTCTTTGTGTCTAGATGTAAGATTAAATAAAATAAAGTTAATCAGCCAACCACTATTTCTGCCGATTTCTGGGTACCACTGATGCTTGCTAACAGCCTGACCAGACACGTCTAAACTGTGGAACATGATACCACATCATTAGAGTGATGCCTCAGAAGAGCCATGTCACATCCCAAAGGTGTTTTCAGGAGTGCAGAACACACAGTAAAACAACTTTATTTCACTGTTTTCCACCCTGCTTTATTCCTGATCCACCCTCCCTTGATATTGATTATGTATCTGGAAAGTTTGCATCCTTCAAAATTCAAACACTATTTCATTAGAAACATCCAATTTGTGGGCATTGATAAAAATAAAAGATACAGTCGAACATCAGTTACTACCTAACTCTGCACAGCAGTTCAGTGATGGGTGTACCGCAGAACCCAGCAAAATACAGTTATGGTTGCCTGGCAACCAACAGGAACCAGATCAGAACACCACAAAGGTGCAGATGAATAAATGGAAGTGACAGGGATAAGTGAAAGAGTCAGGTGAGAGAGACCAAATTCAGTGCTAGAATGACTGGCCAGATACTTTTACCAAACGGGAAATTAAACAGTGGGCCAATGTCAGCCTGCAGGTAAACTGGGCTGCAGGGGATGTAACTGAGAACTGGCTTTGAGCCAAGGGATTACATGCCAAACTCAAATGAAATAGAAGGTGGAGTGGGCAAGCAAGCTGTTTTGGTGTAAATATGGATTAAAATGCGGTACTATACTGTACTGTATGTGCTCGTCCCAAAGAATAGCTCCGTAGACATAGTGAAACTATGACTCAACTGTTAGTGATCTCCCAGAGTATTCCAGGCTTACACATCATTGTTAATCAGTTGGAAACCAAGCATTCATGCACATTGAATTTGAATGGCCATTGCTCAATCTTTCCATGTAATCCCATTAAGAAAGGCCCGAGTGGAGACACTGAGGGTTTCTCTTCTTTGCTTTCCACTGAAAAAGAATTTAAGTAATTTCTTTATTTGCAAGACTCTTTTGTTATGACCAGGGCCGTCCCTAGAGGTGTGCGGGGCCTGGGACATAGGTGCCAAGTTTCTAATCTGCCTGGTGGGTGCTCCCCCTAGCTCCGCCCAGGCCTGCCCCAACTCCACCCCTTCCCCCAAGGCCCTACTCCCACCCTGCTCCTTCCCGCCCCACCACTTGCTCCCCCTGTCCTGCCTCTTCCCCGCCCAGTTCTGCCCCCTCCCCTGAGCACACTGTGCCCTCGCCAGACATGCCAAACCTGTGAAAAAAAAAACACAGAAATTGGGCTCTTTTTTTTTTTTTTTGGCTTAATTGGCTTGTGAGTTGCTTGTTGGCTAGTTTTTGGCTTGTAGCTTCTTTTTTTTTTATCAGCTCCCGGCAAGCAGGGGCAAGGGAGGGAGAGAGTCAGGGGTGCACAGCGGGCCCACTACAGTCCCAGACTGCACGCCGAGGGGAATCTAGTCATATAGAGTGTTGGGGTTCTTGGGGATTAGCTTGTTTAGGCCTTGTTTTGAAATGGGATTAGCTTGATTTTTGGTTTATTGTGAAAGTCTGGGTGTTTATTTACCACATGAAAGTTGGCAACTGTGGCCCTCACTCCTCTCCCCTTCCTCCCCAGTCCCTCCTGATGCCATGGGTGAAACATCTGATATGCAGCAGGCGCTGAGAGGGAGGAGGAGATGCTGATCGGTGGGCCCCACCAGAAGGCAGGAGGCACTGGGGAAAGGGAGAGGTTCTGTAGGGGGGCTCCTCCTCGCCACCTACCCCTGCCACCACCCCTTTCACCTCCTCACCCTGCTTGCCTCACCTCCCCACCCACCTCCTGCAAGGACCCCCAAAGTGCGGGGCCCGGGACAGTTGCCCCGATTCGCCATACCCTAGGGACAGCTCTGCTTATGACCCACAGCCAGCTTGAGGTATTAGATATTTGACAAATAAGCAGATTTAGTATTGAAAAAAATGTCCATGTTAAGTGGGCAGCACCACATTATTTTCCAATTATAGCAACTGGAATTACCACCACTATATTTTAAAATGACCACATAACAGGATCAGAGTAGCTACAGATGGAAAAAGACTGGGTAGATCATCAAAGTCCATCCCCTTGTAAAGTCTCTTGGAGAGTACTGGGAAAGGACATCTTAAAGTGATATTATGGTACGGATATATTTTATATATATGGGATAGATGCTCAGCTGGTGTAAGTCAGAATAGCTCACATGATTTCTGTAGAGCTACACTGATATCAGCTACAGACAGGACTCTGTTTCCTAAAACATATGCTGAAAATCCAACTAATATGAGCTTCCAGTACTTACTTTAATCCTTCCCATCACTAAGGAATACTTTAAAACAATGTGATCAAGAAGAGATTGATTAGCCAGAATTATGCTGACGTAATGTTAGGGCAGAAAGTTCCATGAGGTCATCTTCCTGAACAGATGGTCTAGAGATATTGGTTTTAACTGGCACATGGTTGAGTAAATAATGTTTAAGTTTTCTTTGTGTGCCTGGGGAGTGAACCAGATAGAGTTGAGTGAAATACCTGTGCCTCCTGCCCACATCATCTGCTGCTCCTAGGGTTTTCATTTCCTGCGCTGTTTGTGCTTTATCACACGGCTCACTGGTCAAGCAGTCTGTGCCCTTGGTTCAAGAAGCTTATACTGAAAGAGAGCGAGGTGCACTTAGTTTCAATTTGTAATTTATATATTATACATGGTTTGTTCCTTACAGGCAAAATCATAGTCAAGAATGAAATGGGTATATTGCTGATTTAGTTTTGCTCAGTCAGTACAGCAAATTTTATCTGTAACGATAAATGACCATCAAAGAACACAAATCTGCATGGTTCAGTTTAACAGATTCCCTTAGGACTAAATGGCTATTTAAACATATTCAGATTTGAATTCTAAACAGATTAGTTCTGTTGATTGTCAGTAAACTTTTAAAAAGCATAATTAAAATGCCGAGTTCTTTAAACATGTGCATCTGCGAATTTGAAAGGACTGTCCTGGTCCTGCTCTGTTATCTCTCTTTGTTCAGAATAAATTCAGAATAGCCACTAACACGAAGTCAAATTTTACAAAATATAACTTTTTTGAAGCACAGTTACAGTGATGGGATTTCTTCTTTATTTTCTTTTAAATCCTTGATTATTATGAAGACATGTGAGAGTGTTGTAAACAGAAGACCTTCCCCTCTTAGAATCCGCCTCTATTTGTCTGACTCCTTCAGTAATACCAGGCTAGTGTCTCTGATATCACATTTGCTTTCACAGTAGCAATCTGGGATGTTTTATTGTCATTTAATATTTTAAAGATTGATTGGTAAGAGTGTAGGCTGAGTTACTGGCAGTGAACAGCCCATATGAACCAATAAAATCCATTTCTACTCAAGACCCCCACAAACCACAATACGCTATATATTAAATACAAAAATAAATCACATGGATCAACATTATGATAAACTACTTCACTGAAAACTACTGAATAAATGTTAATCTTATACATTTTACAGTTAACTGTCTTGTCTGGTATTTTAATTATTTTTAAATGATCCAAAAATCTAGAGACCCATGCCTATAAATTATTACCATTTGTGAACAATAGCAAAGTACATGTGTAAGTCATATGTGCATTCAATTCACTCTTGGTAAAAAGTTATTACTGCATTCCACTGAACTCTCTAACAACTGCTGAGTGCTAGCACAGAATGTGTATTTCTAACTTTTAAAATAATGTATTTATAATTTTCATATTTCAGTCATCACTAATACTCTATTGCTGTTAATAACAAAGATTACAAAAAGAAAATCATAAAGGGAAAAGCATCGAATAGATATTACAGTTTGTCTTGATAAAGTTCGCAAGTCACTTTCTACTCTACCCAGGAGAAAAAGAAAAAAATATCCAAGTCCAAGAAAAGAAAAAAATATAGTCTGGCTGAACAGATTGAAAGCAGACTGCTGAAGTTCCAATGGAAAGAAGATGCCAAGATACCTATCATAATCAGATTAACTCCTATCCCCTTCTAGCCTCCGCAAGTGACTCAAAACACTCCATAATGCTGCTGAAGGGACCCACATCTCACTAAAGAAAATGCACATGAAAATCTCAGTTTGCTTGTTTTTGCACTTTTCACATAGTACGAACAACAAACAGAACATACAAACTTGAAAGTAAAAAAAATGACATGACAGAGGAACTTTGCACTGGCATCAACAAGAGACCAGTCAAATACGGCACAAGCTAGGCAGGATTTTATTGAGGAAAAAATGGTAAGGGGGAATATTTAAAAAAAGTCATCTGAAATAGTGTCTTTGATGGGAGAATTGCAGGAATCTATTTAATGTTTATTAATGGAGTTGGCCAAATACTATTTGTGAAAGCAAACATAACATGAATCTAGGCTTTTTCAACACGAGAATAATGAATAGTATACTTCCAATACAAGTTTGTTAAGTTTAAGGAATTCACGAACAGTTTGATGAATACTGGGAATATATCCAAATATTCACAAATATGGCTACACAAATAGCAGCAAATTGAATCCAAGTCATTTATTCATAAGTTTACTTACAAATATGCTTTTTAATTATTTGATCAGCTCGATTAATAGAAGACAAGCAGGTTTGCTTTCCCTCCTGATACAAATAAAGGGAGAATGGAAGTAAAGGAGACTAATTTCCCATAAGTCTCTAATCCTACCCAGTGAGAGGCATCTTTATAAACAGGACAGAGTGGTTTGGGAGCCTGGGTAGCTTTTTTACTTGGTTGCTCAGCCAGGCATGAAAGTGTCTTCTACAATATCCTAAAAGATTCTGCACAAAAGACAATCATATATTCTGGGCAGCAAATAGCATTTCTAACTGGGTAAAAAAATAAAGCATCAATATTCTCCTAGACTTTAATGGTGGAGTAAGATAATATTCAGCATAAGTAAGAGTATCAGAATCTGTCCATGCATGAAATATGAAGTGTTCAAATGTATTCCACAAGAGCATGTAACTATCTGCACTATTCACAAAGCAAACTCCATATGGAACAAATGTTTGCTCAAACAACTCAAGAAAAAGTCAGGTGTAGGTTATGTTACAGGACTGGGTACCAGTAGATCTGGATTCTGTACCCAGTTCTGCAATAGACTTCCTATGTGAATTTGGGAAAGTCACTTAAATCTCTCGGTCTTGCAGCTGAAATGTGGATAACTAATTCTTTGTTACCTCACAGGAGTACTGTGAAGCCTAAGTCATTAATGTTTGTAAAAACACTGAAATCCTTGTAAAGAAGGTGCTATAGTAGAAGCCAATTCTGGTTAATTATCCCATTCATTTCCAGTTTAACTTTTATTTCATCCATCAAGTGAGTGTTTCACTTTAGTTAGTTCACAGCTGTTACAGTCTGTCTAATTTCAATAAATTAACTTTTACTTAAAAGCATTAGTTTTCTTAATACAACTATATAAGGTCACATTTATAGTAGATTGTTCAAGTAAATTAGACAAATTGCTCAAATAGATTTCTCAGCATAACAACACTTACCATCAAAGCAACCTGTATTAGAATTAATAATTCATTACTTATTGAAACAGACAGCATGACTGAGCCAACTTGTGTTTGGGTTATGCACCACAATGACAAAACAGAGAAATATCCTGCCCATTACAAATATGCAGAGTAGATCATGGTGATTTTATTAAAGAGCTTAAAAAATTATTGCTTATATTTTTTATATGGACGAATGCAAGGAAAGCTGTGTACACAATTATGTGCCAAACCGCTCATGTAATTACTGCAACTGAACATTCAACGTGTGGGTATGAGTGGTAGAATTTGTAAGCGCAGCATCTAAAAAGTGGCTGCAGAAATGGCATCTTAGGATCCCACTTTTGTCACTCAATAACGCCTATATCAATTTTGCTGAGGCTATACGTAACGAGCTGGTTTTATTTTCAATGGACAGCCCTGCAGGTAAAGTTTGGGATCTGAAGGCCAAGCTGTGCTATTTCTGGGTTGTGCATTATCAAAAAAGATTCTGCTGTTTGAATGTAGTTAGCATGGGCCAGAATAGCATCCAGCTCATTCTTCAATGGTGATATTGGCTCTGCTTAGCTAACATGAGTTCAAAGGAATAAAAACATATTTTTGTCACTGAATCAAGTAGGTAAGATTCTGACTGCATACAGCGAGTAGTTCAACTGACACAGAAGGTGCCATTTTTACTTCATCACTATTTTGAGTATTACATAGAGAGTTTTCATACAAAGAGGAGAAAGAAGAAACTTTGCGGATTTTCCTATATAATTTATACTATATCTTGATTTAGGCCAACATATTCAAATCTGGAGCCTGAAATTAGGGTTCTACATAAAAGAGGCATGATTTTAATAGATGAGCATTTGTAGCATGGGCTGATAGGAGATGCAGGTGCTCCACACCTCTAAAAATTAGTCCCTTTAATTTTAATGGCTGAATATGGAGTGAAGAACCAAAGTTTGGTTTTCACTGGGACCCCACTGGGCACATTCAGATTAAGGATACGTTGCCAGACACTGGGAGTACGGAAGTGACCCTGAGATTGTGCCCTGAGGATTTGTTCACTATGGTTCATGTCATAACTCTGTTTCTTGTCAGTGTCTTTGCTGCAGCTCTCAGATAAACTTCAGAGTTTTTAAAAATAAAGATGTTTCACGTAATGTTGATAGAAATAAATCATTTTCAGACTTTTTTTTAATCTCTTCTATTGAACATAGGGTATCTTCCCACCTGAACATTCCCAGGCCTACTGAAAAGGAAGTATTATACTTGTCTTGATGCCATAACTGCAGGGCTTGTTACTGAATATATAATACAAAGCTTCCCCTTGTGCCAGTCTTCCAGGGCTTGGTATTGGTGATAGCTTTACAGGAGTGAAATGAGGCACATCTGAAATGGCTGTAGCCACTAACACTTAGACAACAGCCAATATGTTTTTTGGCATCTCAGCAGAAAGATTGCTGTTATTTTGGCTAGCTCCTGTCAGACAGATAATAAAGGGTGGTGTTGGGAGTCTCTATCCACTCCCAAACAACATCCTGTTTCATATAACAGGGACAAAGTCTCTGTGTAGTGGTAGAGACAATTTTATGTTTTTCTAAGTAAACCCTGCCAAGTGCTAGATTAGCATTTTCACATTCCCCTAACCACTGATGCATAACCTCAGTTTGGACAGCTGTTTGGAATTCCAGGCTGGATACCCAACACTCAGCAAACACATCTGATGCTCAGATGTGGTCTCTTGGCAGCTTGATCTCATGTCCATGTGTTCAGATGGCATTGTGCCCATTCATAAGTTAGTCAGACTGTTTCATTTGGATTAGTTGGCAAGTAATCATGAGTTTGGATGTGCAGCCAGCTACACCCCATACAAATGTCATCTCTGCTACTATATTCTCCCTCTTCGGTGGTGTTTGGTGTTATACGTATCTTTATACCTGATTTCACCCACTGACATGTATGTGGGGAAAAAAATTAGAGTGGAGGAAAGGCAGTTCATAACACAGTTAACTTAACACTTTAACTAAGAACTGGTCTGCTCCTATGGCTGAAACAAAAACCCAGAATAGTACCTTCTGTTCTCATATAAGGAAGATTAAAAAAAAAAAAATCTTTGCCTACAGAGGTTGT